GCGCATGGGCCCCAGGAAAACAGAAAACAAAAGAGACGAAGACAGAGAAGAGAAGTAGACGAGGAGAGGGAAAAGAGGACGGAAGGAGAGGGAAGAAGACAAGGAGAGAGGAAAGAGTGCACGAACGGGACGAAGGGAGAGGGAAAGAGGGACGAAGGGAGATGGAAAGAGGGACGAAGGGAGAGGGAAAGAGGGACGAAGGGAAAGAGGAGAGGAATGGAGGGAGGGGGAAAGAGGGACGGTGGGAGGGAACGAGAAGGGGAGAGGGAGGCGGGGACGGGAAGCTGCAAATGCAGTGCTCGGCCGGAGTTGTATTACGCGACAGTGAAACCCGAACACTAGGGCTCATCTGCATTCCTTGTTCGAGCATTCACCCCACTTCCCACAAGGAAGATCCTCTTACACGTCGTCCTACCAGAAAACGCACACACTACTTCCAGTGGCATATCTATTTCGAGTTGCGCAGTACACGTACTCGCACCACATTCTTCCGCAGGGAACTTGGACAGGAAAACCTACACGCAAGCGAAACGTGGAATTAAGTGGGCAACTTGTGATACGCACAGGAGTCGCAAGCAAAAGATCAGAAACGTTAGGTAGATTCACAAACTTGGGAACTCTTCTAAAACATACGTAAATTAAATTGAATTATGGCTATTTAACATGGGAGGGAGGGGGGCTCGGGTCTTCAGGCTGCCTTTTCCTTCTGATCATGCGAATTTCGCTACGCTCCAGACACCTAGCGTAGAAAGAAAATATCACTCGGGAGACGAAACAGATTATTTTGAATTACGCTCAGAGGCAACTTTTAGGCTTGAGTAGTAGAAGGAGTAACATTAGTAACTGAGTTTTTAAACAATCTCAGTAGTAGTAATTACGTATTTGTTCACAAATGTTGCCGATTGAAGTTTTCTGTGAGTGAGGTGATGGGCATTATTTTGGTCCATAGACGTTTAATTACACGATTTTTACGTTTTCCCTAAGTTCTGATTAGCAGAGATGAAATTTTAAATTCACGCATAAATTGAAATAACACAGGTGGGCCATAACTCGCTTGACCAAAAAGCCTTCATAAACATATGTATAACAATGCGAAAAACATTAACATTATACATTTCTCAACCATTATTATTACAAGTGGTTTCACAAGTGTTCTGTTTCATTTTCAATAGACAATACATGTGTTTTAAGGGCAGAAAATACTGCATGATTGATATTTTTTATGACAATGCATCAAATTCAGATGTTATTCGCTCTTTAATGTCGCACATACATTTAATTTTTCAGAATAAACTTGTTTTAAAATCACCCAAACTGAAAATTCTATTGCAGTGAGATCTGGTGAACACGCAGGCCATTCAGCAGTACCTGGCCTTCGAATCCATTCATCAAATTTAATGTCCAAGAACGCTCTCACGATGTCCCATAGTAAGGTGGTGCACTATCTTATTGCCATATTGTTCTACGAATTGGTATTAAATGCACGAATGTCTTGTTCTTTACTTCTATAATCAATTCACAACCGTATAACGTCTAGTGTCAAGCTACTTACGGCCCGCCCGGTATAATAATAATTGACGATTTTTGTGGAATTAACAAGTATTATTTACTAAAAAAACATTTAGAGTTCGATGTTGTCATCTCACTAAGCTGACTATTAGCGCTTTCCGTAGGTAGTTACTTTATTTTTCGATAGATGACACATTCGGGACAGAGTGTATTCAGTTCGATGGTTTCTTATTTCACGTGGTGATACTCAAGCCGTCATGTTTGCTCTTCCGTCTATCCAGGCAAATTTCGCTGCGTGGAGAAAAGTATCACTCAGGCGATGAAAAAGGCAATTGCTTTTTAATTTAGCAAAGGGGCTTCTTTTAGGCTAGATCTTTTACATGCAGTAAATCTACAACATGGGACCCCCAGCTAGCTTTATTTCCCCTCCGAAGGACGGCGTTTGAAATATTTCTTATGCCCTTAAAAATGCACGTCTTCGATTGAGGGTTTAAACCCCCATACGTGGGTATAATCGCTCAACACGATAACACTTTTTGTGTTTGAGAACACTAGCAAGGTTGCTACTCGCCTCAGTGATTTTCGCAGTTCTCAAGATCTTCACTGACATACACATAAAACAAATTGTCCCTTTCTGCGTGACGTCAACTGGGCTTTCTCGATCAAAATCAGCTCACGACAGACCCCAGCACGCTCCAGATATAGACACGCGCCTTACAAAAAATTAAAAGCTATATCCGCGATTGTTAAAAACTTTAATGAGTGGAGATTTAATATAATCCGCCATTTTGAAGCAATTATTTTATTTATTGCAAAGAATGGATCGTGTGCAGCAGCACCACATTACTTAGGGTCCCTTAACCCGGTGCTTCCGAGTGGCTCGTCTGCTGGCTAGCCATTGGTTTAAATGAAAGATTCACACGATCGGCGCAGTCGCGCTATTGTGGCGCTCGGTGACAGACTTCTGCCATCACCGGCGCATATGAGCATACGCGTCTCAGCCAGTAGAACACAGTTCAAAAGGCTCCTTTACATCGTACCTCTCAGCAGCTCTTCTGAGTGGCGTGTCTGCTAGCAAAGGATTGGTTTAAATGGAGGTATTCACACGAGTAACTGGAAACGAACTCCCGCCACCGGCAGCGCAGAACCACGATCGCACTAGCAGAACACAGACCTAAATGGCGGCAAACAAATGATATACGCTACTGAACCGGTCTTCGCGTACTGATTTGGTCTTTCATCGGCCGCCGGTGGCTGCATGTTTCACGGTGTCGTCACCGAGTGGCTCCATGTGAAGCTCCATGTGAGGCACCCTTCACTCTAAATCACTCTGACGCACCACCGAACCGGTTTTTACGTCCTGGCTGCCTTTCGGCCGCCGGAGCCTTCCTCTCTCGCGGTCAGTGGCGGTCTGCGGTGAATTTGTGGGAAGGGCTATGTTGCTTCTCGGTGGCGCACCGAATGGCTCCATGTGAAGGCACCCTTCCCACAAGATCATTCGAACGCGCCACCGAACCGGTTTTTACCTCCTGGCTGCCTTTCGGCCGCCGGAGCCTACAGCAGCGGCGTGACTAACGAATCATGTCTCGCTGACAGTGACTATCGGCTGTAGCTGTGTTTGAAGGACTCCGCAGCTTCTTGGT